CTCAGATTTCAGTGTCCCCCCCCCCCAAAAAAAAGGATTGACGCCCCCTGCTTCAGCCATGCCTTAATCCTCATAACCAAGTCCTTCGAAGAGGTCCTCTGGTTGCTTACCTTCAAGCATAATAGTACATGCTTCCTTAGAAGTCATGTAAAAAAAACTGACCGACAAACCTTTTGGCCCGAATTCACAAAGGAGGTCATATGACGCACATAAAACTAGGTTTGTCGACAAACCTCCTTTTTGAATTCTGCCCTTATCTCCGTTATACGCCAATGCATGCAAGACTTCATTTTCCGACACAGAAATGCGTCAGTGACTGGCGACGTTTTTGACGCATCACCCAAGAGTAATAACTTACAGAAAATGAATGTAAAGTAAATGGTGCAAATGTAGATTAGATTACCGGCGCATTCACTTATGGTCTTTATATATATTCATTTAGCGTACTTGTATATAACAACGGCATTAATTAGCGATTTCTGTGTAAAGCCTGTTTCACGTGAAGCGTCATTTTGTCAGACGCAAGGCAGCGTCAGTGATTAGCGTGATGTTTGACTCAAGATAGAGTCGGTGATTAGCGTGATGTTTGACGCACCGTGCAAGAGGGATGGTATAAAAAAAAAAATGCAAATCTATAATACTATAGCTGATTTTTATTGGCGCCGGATGTATTGCCTCTATGAGCGTGAAAAGGGCCGGTAATACTTGACCGCAATAGAAATGCGTACAACTGGCATCACATCATATCAATACCCTTTTAATATTCCGAATCCTCCAGAGCACCTACCTCAGTTCATCTCCAATCAATACTGATTTGTTAGGATTCAAATCACACATTTAATACCTTACATCGATGGGTACATCCATTAATCTTGCCTATTTCTTCCGGATCTTCGACTCTAAAGATGCTATTCAAGCTAATCGTTTATCATTAGTAAGTTTACGTGCACTTATTACCATGCAGAGAAAGAGAGAGAGAGAGAGAGAGAGAGAAGAGAGAGAGAGAGAGAGAGAGAGAGATAGAGAGAGAGAGAGAGAGAGAGAGAGAGAAGAGAGAGGAAGAGGAGAGAGAAAGAGAGAGAGAGAGAAAGAGAATGAGAGAGAAAGAGAGAGATGAGAAAGAGAGAGAGAGAATAGAGAGAAGAGAGAGAGAGATAGGAGATGAGAGAGAGAGAGAGGAGAGAGTGAGAGGAGAGAGGGAGGAGAGAGAGAGAGAGAGAGAGAGAGAGAGGGGGGGGGGAGAAGCGAGTCTACTGCGTTAACGTCATGATATGCCACTCACCGAAGTCAATGGAACTACACACAACTAAAATAAAATAATGTAATTTATAATACAAATGCAAAAGCTACTCGCTGCATACAATTTAGTTAACTCATTCCATTTGCATGCACATATTTTAGGTTAAATGTACTCCTTTTCACCCCTTTTCAAGTAGAAGTACTATTTGAAGGAGCCCTATTATATAGAGGCTTACGGCAACTTATGCATTGGAACCTAATTAATTGACAGGCTATAAAATAGGCCCTGTTATAGAATTATGTCTTGACCGGTGCCGTTGTCTTTACAAAGTTGAATGCCTGTTATTTTTTAAATCTAAATGCAATATAAAAGTGGCTTTCAATAAAGCTTTTGTTTGAATGTTCATTCTCTATGCTTGCTCGCAAATGATTGTCAAGCCTTTCAGTACGCAAACGTACGCACATTATACACACAAATAATATTTAGAAGTCAGCATGCTGGTCTCATCTTTGAGCTCAATAATGTATTTCAAAATACGTGACATCGCACATTTGCAATATGGATTGTTCATTGTTGTTGTTTTTCCTCTTAATGTTATATTATCAAAGACTTGGTGTTTAATGCATCTCGGAACCTTATTTATTATCGGAGAGAGGAACATCTCATCTTTAAAAAAAGCATCCTTTTAAACTGAGAAGGGGTCATCTGAGTCATCAACCTATTTCTCGAGAGTGAGAGAACATGTTTGAGGGTAGGCCAACATTCATTTATCTGATGCGACACTACGCGACTCTTGCTGGAAAAACTCTTCAATATGAAGAGCGCTATCTGTAGGCCTTTTCCCCCCATTGACAACTCTTCAAAATAATGTTCTGCAACTAACTCACTCCCACTTTGCCCTGTTTTATATTATGATTACTAATATAAAATCGTGAAAAAAAACTCGTTGACACCTCTCTCCCCCCCCCCTTTATCTCTCTCTCTCTCTTTTATTTCATACTGATGCTTTCACAATCTTGCAAATTGCCAAAGCCTTAAATGTATAATTTAAAATGTGATATGTGAATGATACCAATCATGGGAGCAACTGAATCAGATTTAATTGTGCAAAATCTTGTTTGCTTCTTTATTGATATATCGATCATTACCATGGAAACCTTTAACAATTTTTTTTATGCGAAAATAATTTTTATGCACTACCCTACCTTTTACTAAATTGGTCACATAAAACACAATCTGCAATTTACCTACTAAGTATATTTTGTTTCATTCATTGAGCATATATTTTATTATATAATTCCCAGATTTGGGGTCGTGGTCGAGTGGTTACGTCGCCGGACTGTTGATCACAAGTTGGGGTCCGAGTCCCGGAGCGACACCAATATCCTTTGGCAATACATTGATCTACATTTGCCACACTCAACCCAGGTGATATAAATGAGTACCTTCAAATGCTAAAGCGCTGTAATGGCAGCACAGCTAAAACCGCGGTAATAATCTCCAAGTTTGGAAGCGCTTATATAAAAGCTGAGTATTATTTTTAATGGTTTCTGCCATTAAAGAAAAAGTACTACCCATCTGGCTATGCCATTTCCACCACAACATTTAATTCATTCGAATTTCAAACAAATATATTTATATTCATATATTGTATAAGTTCAACATATAATTTTAATTCAAATATGGTTATAATATTCAGATTTCTGTATATGTACCAAGTAATCTGCAACAATTTACAACGATGGCAACACGACACATGCTCCGGCGGCGGTTTTTCCAGGCTTTATTTCATCAGGGATGTGGGGGTGGGGTTGAATTGTTTTGTTTGTTTTGGGGCTGGGCTTGGGCTTGGTCTTGACGTTGGGTGCGGTGAAGGTTTCTTGTCCGGGGTTGGGATTGGGAGTTTGAATAATGCACTGAATTGCAGCGGAGTAATTGTAGCCGGAGCAGGTGTCGTAGAAGCACAATTATATATTATATGTACAAAACGAATTGCAATTTACTACCATAATGTTAATACGCATATGTATTACGTGTAAATTTACTTTGTCACTGATGTATACTTTGTAAACAAATAAAAAATAAACATCTGCAATTCAGCTCTCGGGCCGTGAATGTTTTTTAATGAAATAAAGAATTTTAAATAAATAAATAAATAAATGGAATAACTATTTTTAATGTGAAACAATGAAAAATCACTTTATGACACTTATGTACAGTTTGTTGGGTATTATACATTCAAAGTTTTATATTTTGTATTTTCGTTTGTTCATTACTTTAATATTCATTATTCATTCATATTTTTCGTTATTGTTCAATGTATTCATTTACTTACTTATCTATTTCAAACTGGTGGTAGGTACAAAATTAGAAACGGGCGTTGCAACTGTTTTAATTGAAAAAGTTCGATTCTTCTGCTTCGAACTATTCTTTTTTAAGCAATTAAATGAAATGTGAAATTCGAACATTAAATGATTGACCATAATTAATATTTTTTTGACAGATTAAAGTTTTAAAATATATAAAAATTGCTCCGGCTGTAATAAGTGACAATTGTAAAAATCACTAACATTAATTGAAGTTCTATATCATGTAACTTACCAATAGAGAAATGAAAGCCTGCTTTTTGAAAAAAATCACGCTCTGCATGCAATTCTTGTCATATTATTAAAAAAAAGCATAATTGAAATTATGTATGCGATGTTTGGATACAAGTTTTAACATTGCAATATACACAATATGGTTTGGTTAATGATAATGAAGGTTATGTATATTACTGTTCTCAACCATTCAGGTAATTGATTAATAATTCAATAATTCAAATGATTTTATTTCTCATGCAAAACATAATACAAGAATAATTATATCACAAAAACTATGCAATGAAACGACAAATATAATGGAAAAAGCACGAGAAAAGAGGAAGTAACTTGAAGAAGAGCTTGTCGAAGTGTTAGTTCCTCAGATGCTGTTTTACAATATAATATGAACAAAGTATGCTTAGAAATACGTGTAACATTAAATGTTATAAACAAATCAACTGGATTTTTCCCCGCTTACAACGCCTTAAGCCTCGGTCACAAATGCCATTACAAACTGCTACGAACGCCTTACGAACGATTTTCAGACAATAGAAATTCGGGAAGACAATGGAAAAACAGGGAGATTCGTACGAAATTATCGTTCGTACGAACCTTTGTGACCGTAGCATTACGTCCACTGCGGGACGCTTCATCAGGCTGACTATACCGACGGGTCTTTGAATGGTTATCAGAGAAAGGCAGTTCTATCCTGACGTTTCCTGACCAGGGGGGTGTTTCACAAAGATCCTAAGTTGAACTTATCTCTAAGTTGGACTTAACAATTATGGAAAGCCATTAGCATCTATGGAAATATTTCGTAAAATTTATTTTAAAAGCCATTAAAATGTTGATTGAAATCATTCATATTTTCTTTTATCAAGGAGATTTCATGTTCTTGATGTGGAATTTATACAAAGTCTACAATTCTTGAATTTTTGCTTTTTAATTTATTTTATTTTAGGGGTACAAACGGCTCTCCATAATTTTTAAGTCCAACTTAGAGTTAAGTTTGACTTAGGATCTTTGTGAAACACCCCCCAGAACACCATGTTCACGGGTCAAGAATCATATGGCATTAGAGACCGGTCGGCCCGATGAAGCATCCAGGAGTGAACCTAGAACGTCGCAAGCTTAGATTTTTGTTAGTACACTTGGCTTGATGAAGATTCTCTGGTGATTTATAAACTGAGTACTCTCTGGGGAACATCCATTATTATCTTTAGGAGGAAAAGGAGCATTATTTTCTCCGGGGGTGTATCAATAAGAACGAGTTGAGAAATCAGATCTTCTTCTTCCAAGATAGTGGATTCCTCGTCGGGTTTTCCATCAGAAGAAACCAGAGGGGCTATCTCAGACAAATCTTCAGGTAGGACTTGCATTTCGTGGCTGGACGATTGGTCAGCAGGTTGAATGCTACTTACATTGGTCACATCATCACCAGCATGAACTTCTTCAGAGGAAACATCTTTAGAAGTCACTTCAGATGCATCCAAGTTCTTTGTACTGCGCACCGATGAGTTGTCAGGATGTAGACTCCTACTTCTATCTGTCAAGTCCTCCTGGGTTTTGGAAGCCATGTCTCCCGTTTGCCCATCTCGAGGAGTGTGGTCATTGCTTGCTGTAGCTTCCTGAAGTACCTGGGTGTCGGTTTGTACTTTGGTCTGGTCCTCTTCTAGAGAGGCCTCATCTCTATCAGAGAGCTGCTCATCATTGACGCCTTCTTTATCATATTCAGCATCGATCTGTTCTTCTACTACACCTAACCGGCAGTAAGAAAGAAAACAGATAATTGGTTTATTTCTCAAAACACATCGAATTGAACTTATTACAGTGAATTTCAAATTTCTTTTATTTTTATGTTTACCAGGTAGTAGATGAGAACTTGAAGTTGGTAGTAAGCTTCAGGGCCCTGTTTCACAAAACTTGTCTTCAGTGACACGTGACAGTTTTTGTTATAAGCTACTGAAATCCTTGCTTCTGATTGGTTAACAGCAGATTTGTCCCTGGTTTTTGTCATTTGTCATTGGAAAAAGGCTTCGTGAAAGGGGTCCTTGTTTGGCTTTTTATTCGTGAGGAAAATATTAACTGAAAGTATTACCTAAGCTCTTTTTAAGTACCTTCTCTCTGCATTACGTCACCTTAGTAAACATGTGGAAAACGAATTTCCTTCAGAACATACCATCAATCTGACTCTAAACACATGGGTCGTATTGTCTACCGAATATAACAGCATGTTGCTGAAATGTTGAATGGGGTCCTCGATTACGAAACTACAATTGTTCTTAATGAAAATATACGTTACCTTCGCTGAGATACAGGTCTGCGAGGTTGACCAACTTGGCAGCGTGCAGTGCCTTCGTTAGCTCAATCCGTTCATCTTCCCTGGACACACCTTCTCTCCATTGTTTCAGCATATGACGAGTTCCATCACTGGTAACACGGTTGAACTTCACATTGGTCATGAGCGCTCTCTGTATATCACCATGTAGGATTCCCAGCTGACCAGCAAGGCTGTCAATCTTGGCTTCATCGTAAAGGTCGTCAGCTATCTTCATTAAGATGTCTGCAAACTCATCATCTGGGGGCTCCTCTCTAGAACGTTAAAAAAGACAAACATGGGGGCGGTCAAAGAACGTAGGTATGACGAATCAACTTTAAAATGAATACAAAATAATCTTTACTTCAATAGGTGAAGAAGAAAAAAAAGTAAAAATATGTTCTTCCCGTAATGAGACTATAGAGGATTATGTTATATTATAACTCTAATCAAGAGTATCATCTTCTATTTGTTTCATTACAGAACGTTTTCATTGTTAAAGTCAACCTATAGCAGTTGACTGACACAAATAGACAGTGATCCCATTTAGAGACCATGCTCGACATGCTCGAATTATTAAATTTTATTTAAATTCATTAAAAGATTTCACTTTCAACTCAAATCACTGTAAACTGGTATGTTACTAAGATTTTCTTTTTTTGTTAATGATTTTCAATCTTTTATTCATTTCTGCTTTTAGATAATCACAGGTGGTCACGAAATTTCTAAACATGATTTTGGATTTATAGAACATAAGTGTTGCCGCACTTTTAGCACTGTTATTGACAGTCTAGGACCACTTATTTTACTCAACAAAGTACATTCCGTAGTAGTGTTGTCACTATGAGAGAAATAATGCGTTTATTGTCAATTTGTCATGTAAAGAGTAAAGATATTTCATCTCACCCTGCTTGTAATGTATCACTCCTTCTCAGTCCTCCGGTTGAATTATCCTCAAATGATGATGTGCCTGTCATGAAGGAATGAAGTCAGTTTGAATGAGAAGGAAAACAAAAGAATTTAAGATACAAATTTGGAATGTTCTCTATGCCGTGGTCAAGTGGTTAAGTCGCAGGACTGTCGATCATAAGGTCCGCGGTTTCGAGACACGCTGCGGCACTAATGTCCTTTGGCAAGACATTGATCTACATTTGCCACACTCAACCCAGATGATGTAAATGGGTACCAGGCAGGAATTAATTCTTTGAAATGCTAGAGCGCTGTAATGGCAGCACAGCTAAAGCCGGGGTAATAATCTCCAATTTTGAAGCGCTTAGTGATTGTAATAAGCGCTATATAACAACTGAGTATTATTATTATTCTAAGTAATTTCAAAGTATAGCAAAAATTGGATAGCGAGCTATAAAGACCATATTGGATTTGATAAGCTTCACATTAAACATATTTCAAAAAGTAGCAAATAATTGGATTGTACTTATATAGTATAATGATTAAAAAAAAAATCTTTCAAATGAAATTGAGATTGGAAAATAAAGTCTTACCACTCTGAGCTTGTTTTCCAGAAGCCACCCAGGGAATGAAACTCCATTGATGTGTCTCTGCTTTCTTCTTCTGCTCTGCTGATCGTATCTCACTTTCTAGTTGAATTTTGGTTCTCAGCTTCCAGGTCTCACGCTTAAGTTGCTCTAAAAGCCCTTCCTTATAGTCATGCTCCTTCTTCCAGCTTAATTCTATTGACCGTTTTTCCTTTTCAAATCGCGCTCTGTCTCCCTCTCTTCCTTTCTTTATTTCTTCAAATTGCTGTCTTAAAGTCGTCTCGTTCCGCTCTTTCTCCTCTCCAATATTCGTCATTTCTGCTGTCAGTGAGCGCTTCTCTTTCTCAGCTCCTGCTCTGTATCCCTCTCTTCCTTTCTTTAATTCTTCAACTTGCTGTCTAAGAGTCGTCTCGTTCCGCTCTTTCTCCTCTCCAATATTCGTCATTTCTGCTGCCAGTGAGCGCTTCTCTTTCTCAGCTCCTGCTCTGTCTCCCTCTCTTCCTTTCTTTAATTCTTCAACTTGCTGTCTAAGAGTCGTCTCGTTCCGCTCTTTCTGTTGTACAATATTCGTCATTTCTGCTGCCAGTGAGCGCTTCTCTTTCACAGCTCCTGCTCTGTCTCCCTCTCTTCCTTTCTTTACTTCTTCAACTTGCTGTCTGAGAGTCGTCTCGTTCCGCTCTTTCTCCTCTACAATATTCGTCATTTCTGCTGCCAGTGAGCGCTTCTCTTTCTCAGCTCCTGCTCTGTCTCCCTCTCTTCTTTTCTTTAATTCTTCAACTTGCTGTCTAAGAGTCGTCTCGTTCCGCTCTTTCTCCTCTCCAATATTCGTCATTTCTGCTGCCAGTGAGCGCTTCTCTTTCTCAGCTCCTGCTCTGTCTCCCTCTCTTCCTTTCTTTAATTCTTCAACTTGCTGTCTTAGAGTCGACTCGTTCCGCTCTTTCTCCTCTCCAATATTCGTCATTTCTGCTGCCAGTGAGCGCTTCTCTTTCTCAGCTCCTGCTCTGTCTCCCTCTCTTCTTTTCTTTAATTCTTCAACTTGCTGTCTAAGAGTCGTCTCGTTCCGCTCTTTCTCCTCTCCAATATTCGTCATTTCTGCTGCCAGTGAGCGCTTCTCTTTCTCAGCTCCTGCTCTGTCTCCCTCTCTTCCTTTCTTTAATTCTTCAACTTGCTGTCTAAGAGTCGTCTCGTTCCGCTCTTTCTCCTCTACAATATTCGTCATTTCTGCTGCCAGTGAGCGCTTCTCTTTCTCAGCTCCTGCTCTGTCTTCCTGTCTTCCTTTCTTTAATTCTTCAACTTGCTGTCTTAGAGTAGTCTCGTTCCGCTCTTTTTCCTCTCCAATATTCGTCATTTCTGCTGCCAGTGAGCGCTTCTCTTTCTCAGCTCCTGCTCTGTCTTCCTGTCTTCCTTTCTTTAATTCTTCAACTTGCTGTCTTAGAGTCGTCTCGTTACGCTCTTTCTCCTCTCCAATATTCGTCATTTCTGCTGCCAGTGAGCGCTTCTCTTTCTCAGCTCCTGCTCTGTCTCCCTCTCTTCCTTTCTTTAATTCTTCAACTTGCTGTCTAAGAGTCGTCTCGTTCCGCTCTTTCTCCTGTACAATATTCGTCATTTCTGCTGCCAGTGAGCGCTTCTCTTTCTCAGCTCCTGCTCTGTCTTCCTCTCTTCCTTTCTCTAATTCTTCAACTTGCTGTCTAAAAGTTGTCTCGTTTCGCTCTTTCTCCTCTACAATATTCGTCATTTCTGCTGCCAGTGAGCGCTTCTCTGTCTCAGCTCCTGCTCTGTCTTCCTCTCTTCCTTTCTTTAATTCTTCAACTTGCTGTCTAAGAGTCGTCTCGTTCCAGTCTTTCTCCTCTAGCGTTTTTGTCAAAGTGTCTTCCCGTAGTAGCTTAGACACTAATTTCGTCATCATTTCTTCGTTGTCGGTCTCTAGTTGCTCAACCTGACGTCTTGCTTTCTCTTCTGTCCCCTGTACATTTTCAGCCATTGTTTCGATACGCAGATCCTTTGATTGTAGTTTCTTTTCAAATTCCATCTCCCTCTGCTTGTACGTCTCCATTATCTGCTTTGCTCTTTTCTCGTTTTCCATCATTGCCCTTTCACTATGTTCACGCCTTTCTTGTTCAACCTTCATGGTATCTTGTAGTCTTCCCTTTTCACTGACTATGCTTGCGCGACTTGCACGCGACTCGTTGAGTTCCTGCTCTAAGTCTGTAATTCTACCTCGGAGTAACTTCTTTGCTTCTTCTGCTTCTCTAATGTCTTCTCCGTGCCTCTTCTGTGCTTCTGTGACATCCTTTCTCCCTTGGTTCCATAACCGCTCAACGCTGGGTAAAGAATACAGCTGTATTAGGTCAGCAGATATCCCTTCGTCACCCTTCTTCAGGCATCCATGGAGGAGGTCAAGCCACTGCAACCGTTTCTCATTTGAGAGATAGGCATCAGTGGGAGGTACATCATAGATGTTAGTGACCCCGAGCTTTCTTAGTTTATTTTTTGCCTTCTTGATGACTTCACCTCGCCCGGTAGTTTCCATGGCACATATAGGGACGTGACCTATCCAAAAGAAAACAAATCAGTTCAATCGAAGAAGTCATTTAATCGTCTCATGACCTCTATGTACCACACATTTGTCACCTAATCCCTTTTTTTTGAGGGGGGGGGTATATTTTTACAACAGAGTAAGGATCGAATCTGTTTATTTTTCATTCGCATCTGTGCTTTCAAATATTGCCATTAAACGTGCTGTATACGTGCATAGAGTATACCACCATTTTCTAGGGTTGTAAATAGAACTGGCGTGTGAGTGAAGGATCGATGGAGAGAGGGGGGGGGGGGGGGGAGGGGGGACAAAATTGATAAAGAAAAGAGACTGCAGAAGAAACATAAACGGGAGTAACATAGCCATATTCATGAGATAATTATACATGTACAACTATGAAAATTATAATTTGTAATCACATGGGCCTATTATATAATAATACAGGCCTACACAGAAAGACGAAAGAATCAACATGCATGCACAAGGAAAGAAAATGTATTTAATTTTACAAATTGAACTGACGAAGGGCGAGTTAGAGTTCACGATATCATTATGATCGAAATTGATGAGGTGCAATTAAGGGCTTGAATGCATAATGGATAATATAGAAAACTAAGATAAGTACTTGATTTTAGGGCCATATTGCATGAATTATGATTGTTTCCTCGATTGTGTTATGTCCTAGTCATAACTGTTGAAAAAACATTCTATAGCAGGTGTCATTATCGTTAGATACACGTACCTACATATTTAATAGCATGGTCAATAACATAAATCTTTATATGTAAACAAAAATTACCAACCTTCATATTCAAAAGTTTCATGCGTGAAAATAATATGGCTTGTACTGTTATTCATTTATTCATATCTTCATTCGACCATTCTTGTATTAGCATACGGTGGTTTATATCACTGCATTGTGTGTATCAACAGTGCAATTGCTTTTTTAAATTTTCAATTGTTTAAAGATACTCGTCCTACCTATAGCGTAAAGGATAATGGGAAAACTCACCTGTAATCTTCTTTATTATCTTGATCCATTGTTGGTAATTGTCGAAAGTAGACGGTCTAATAAAAATGAGAATAATGCACAGATTCAAAATCGTCATTATCAGTACGTGGTGATAATTAAAGAGGTAATGATAATAAAATGAACACAATTTGATACTCAACCCGCTTCTACCGAAGGCCACCTCAAAGAAAAGAAATTGTTGCTGATTTTCTTTGCCACATTGCTCCGAAAAATGTGTTTATTTCGGTTCGCGTTATCAGAACGACGTCACGCGCCCTCAAGCGCCGTAATTCATGACCGTGAATCCTTCATAATTTCGATATTAAAGATGTAGAAATATCAAACATATTCGGGCAAATTGCTGTCGAATTCGGGTAACAGAAGTAAGGGGAAACATTATAAAATCATGTTTGAACGGACGAAAGTGATAAACAGTGGCGTATCTAAATATTATTCCGCTAGGGGCAAACCATAACATTGCCCCCCCCCCCCCCCCGCCCAAACGTATCTGCATTACTATACAAGCGAATCGGCATTATATATTGATTTCAATCTCCAAAAAACACAATATCTTTTACCCTTATAAATATTCCAAAGGCACCATCTACTGCAGCGTACCAGCATTACCATGCGATTACAAAAATGGTAGTCTATATCTTTCAAATATGTATTGCCCATTTGAATATGGAGAGCGAGAAGATTAATACTCACCTTAGTAACAGCACCATACATTCAACTTTCCCGGCAAGGTGTCGTACAGTTTTTTCGTCTGAAATATTTGATACATTTTGCATGATGAACCTTTTTGATACTATGAACATGATATTTAGCCTACATCAGTAGCGTACGCAGGATTTTTTCAAGGGGGGGGGGGGGTAAAATTTGAAAATCGCGCCCGAAAATTTCGCAACGACTCAGCCAGCCGCTGAATAAGCGGCGGGGGCAGGGTAGGAGTCCTTTTTTTTTTTGGGGGGGGGGGTCCAGTTTTTAAGGTAGAATTTCGCATCGACTCAGCCGGCCGCTAAAAAAAAAGGGTGGGGGAGGGTGGGTAGGATCACATTGTTTTTGTTTTGTTTGGGGGGGGGGGGGGGTCCCAAAAATTGAAAAATTAGGCCGACCGATATTTCGTTCAGTTGGGGGGGGGGGGGTAAGGTCAGTTTTTGTTCACCCTTTAGTACCATTTGACAAAAAAGTGAGGGGGTGTTATCCTCCGATACCCACACATTGCACAATTTGAGGGGGGAGTTGACCCCCCCCCCCCCCCCCCTATCTGCGTACGCGCCTGGCCTATATGCAGAAGTAGACAAAGAAAAACAATAGACAAGCTTGTGTAGTGCTTTAAATTGCATGCAATATTCCAGAATAACACAAATGAATGAATTGTTTGTGCAATAACATTTAATGAAACCACACAAAATAATATTTTGTGAACATATAAACAGTGAACTGAGTGCGTTTCATAAATTTGTTGAATTTTCTAACCAAGAATTGTTTCAGATAGTTGACATGTTTAATTAATTAATGGCTTACACATAATCGTTTGTTTTTATTCGATTATTTTTTCAAAGAAATATGAAATCTTGCGCTCCATGTATTTGATTTGTGCCATTACTTTTTACTGTTAACACAATGATTGTTTAAAGGCCCACTGCACTACTTATAGCAACTTGCGCCCTATATATAACAAACAATGACTAATCATTGACCATTGGTCCCCCATGATCCTCTTTTTCTTATGTTAACTGAGAGCTGAGTTGATGAGATAACCACCTGTCCAGTGACCTTGCAGGGCAGGCTTATCTCTCCTTTAAACTACGGCACTTAAACTGGAAGAAGATAAGCTTTAAGCAAGTGTTCACATAATTATGTCTCTCTTTCAGGCGATACAGGTGGGATGATGTCAGTAATTAATGGGTTATTCAGGCGTATGCCATGGTTCATACCCTCATTATACAAACATGAAAATGACTGATATTTAGCAAATATAATTATACTGTGGGAATGTGGACTAGTTTATATTTTATGTAGATCGCGGACTTGTCCGATTATGCAAATTAATTTGCTACGCGTGTTGCACATGATTTTGCGGATGAATGATTTATTGTGTGATACGCCGCCCACGTTAATGTGTGAACATACATGCGTGTATTGAATTACATTCATGTCACGTTCGATGGCGGAGAGGACGTTTTTTGCTGTGCCTGTAGCTGTGTATTACAGAGTCACGCGGTTTCCTTTTAGTGTGGGTTTTGGTTCAACTGTTTGGCAGTATTTTCGAGTATTGCTCATTGAAATATATATTAGGTTCAAGCTTGTATCAGAGTGAGTGATAATGCGTAGTTTGAGGTGGATATAGATGTCTGTTTGAAGTAATTATGATGATAAGAATGCCTGTTTATGTACGTTGAACAGAAGTTTCGGTTAAGGCATTATTTAGTCATATTACGCTGTTTATAGATAAAATGTCAGAGACATTTGTGCTAAAATTGTTTTCTGCAACATTTGCTTTCGTCATCTATTGGAAAAAGATATTTTGAGGGATTACAAAGATAATTTAAAGACAAATTATCCCATTTTGTATTTCGCACACATGTGAAGTAAAAATGTATCTTGACGTTGAGGGCAGCAAGATGTAAATAAGCTAGCAAGATGGCGGCGCCCATAGTTGATTCCTAGATGTGAGTTGAAGATAGTTTTATACACCTTAGGTGTACGATATGAAGAATGTTGTTGATATTTTCCCGTGGTGTTTATGTCTAGCTATTTACCATTAGCTGTAGATAATATGAGAATTTACATTAGTGTTATTTAGAGAGCAAATACTTGTAACTGTTATTGTTGTTACATTATTTTAGGGCAAGATCAGAGGTCTTGCATGTTGCAGTTTCTGTTGCTGAGCTGAGCTGAGTAGTTTGATGGCTTCTTGGTGTTGATGTTTCCCTTTTCCCCTTCACTTCCTTCTCCACTGTACTTGAGAGCTTCAGTGGTTTATTGCTGAAGACCTTGGGTACGTTTTAATGATATTCTGGTAAAGTTTGCAACAGACTTTGTGTAACTTTACTGAGTCTAATATTGCAGTGTGTTTAACAGTTTATATGTATATACTGATGTTGTGGGACAATTTGGTATTTGTTCCAGCGTATTATGAATACTTACAGATTAATGTATGTATTCTTGTTTGTCTGATGCAAGTATGATGCTCTGATTGCTAGATTTATATTACTGTTTGATGAGATTCTTACAGCTGATTTGATGTTTAGATTTAATTATGTCATTCAAGTAAATGACTAATATTTGATTTCAGTGATTTTACAAGAGAATCAAGATGAAATATATTTTATTTGGAGAGCAATTTGTAATTACTTAAATGATATTTAATCAAGAGAATATCAATATCTCTGTTTAGTAATAACTTGTTTTATTTCATTAATATAATCCTGTATTTGTGAAGATGACATTTGTAATTGTTTGAAATATTAAGACATGTTTTGTTTTTATTATTCTGCCAATTGCAGGTTTTTCCCGTTTCTGCGTGCATGAATCACCGAGAATCAACGGTTTATGAATTAAAGCACCGGTTATGCTAACACACGTCTCCTGAGTTTCATTCATCGTCAGTGGCGGATCCAGGGGGGGGCACAGGGGGCACGTGCCCCCCCCCCCCCCCGGCCAAACAAAATATGTTAAAATCAGCCCTAAATTCGCCCAAAATGTACTGAAAAACAGGAACGTGCCCCCCCGGCCAACAAAAAATGCCAATGGCTGACCTAAAAAGGTGACCCCCCCCCCCCCCCCAACGAAGCAAAATGTCAAATTTTAAATTTCGTCACCAAAAAAAAAAAAAAAAGTGTCCGCTTACCCCCCCCCCCCCCCCCCCCCCCCCCCTTTATTCAGCCGTCAGCTGAGTCGTTGCGATTTTTTGGGGGACTAAACAAAATATATATATATGTTCTCCTACGTGCCCCCCCCCCCCCCGTGTGCCCCCCCCCCGG